CCGCTGGGTCTATTGTGCCTATAAATAAATAAAATATATATTAGTCAAGTCAGAGGATAGTCAGGTAAATGCTTGTATAATTGAATAATTAATAATTAAAACTAATAGTGATTAACATCTAGCCCTTGAATAATACAACCAACCAACAGATACATACATACCAACAATAACAAGTTACCACTTTCTCTTAGGCATAAACATACATTAGTACGAGACAGTTCAAATCACGAAACACAAACAAACAGGTGTCTTGACCCTTTTATCCTGCAAAAATGTCCTTAGCATGGTATATGCCGATTTTCTTCCCACTTACGTCTCCTAATTCATACATCGCGTTCCCGATGACTTTAAGGACGATACATTTTACTTGTTTGGAAGCCAGCTTCGCATTGTAGCTGTCTACCTGAGAGCTTTGCCTGAAATTTCGGCGATATACCTCTTGTCCGATATTAAATCGACATCTTTTACTGAGACAAGCTTTCGGTATAGCGCATGCGATGCACCATGTTGCACCATAAGCATACCGAAAGTTGCGGAGTAAGGAGAACAATTTATAGCCGCGTGGACAACACTGCGGAGCGCAAAAGCCGCATCGCTATGTGTTTGTCCCAATTTCTTTGGTTTTCGTTTATGTGAGATCTCACGAAACAAACAGAACGATTGACACGTTCCGCTGCGTTCCCCTGCGGCGAGTAAAAAGCTGTATTCACGTGTATCGTGCCATATTTCTCGAGGAAACTAAAAAATATTTCAGATACGAACTGTTTGCCTTTATTCGAATGGACATGCTCAGGCACACCAAAGATGTGAAAAACTTCCTTCTCTAAAAATTTGATCCCTTCTGCTGATGTGGCTCTTCTCATGAGCATTAAAAACACAAATTTTGTAAAGTGGTTAAGACACACAAACACATACACATTGCCGTCAGACGTACGCGGATATGGACCCATAAAATCAATGAACAGACGGAATTAGAAATTCTTGGCAAATAATCCCGGGATTTTCGGGATTTATAATTTGCACGGATGGCAATAATATAAATTCCTTTTCTTGACCAGTCTTGCCTATATTTCTTTTTTTAATTGAATAACTAGCAGAGTACCCGTCGTCGTTCGGGGTAAACAAATCAAAATATAAAACAGTGATACAAATATTCAGTACTATACTACTATTTGCTATATATTGATCATCACTTTCTGTACTAAAAATCTTGTTCCATTACTAATATAAGGTGATTTAAAGTAACGAAAGAGTTTTTAAATTAAAATTAGTCTACTATGGTAGATTCCGTTTAGCTTCCTATTCGCTTAGCTGTTTTAGTATAGCTGCACCTTTCCTGTAGAATGCTTATTCCAGAAGAAGTTTTATTCATTATACATGCACATCAGTTGATGTTTTATCGTCACTGCGATCGGACGCTTTAAAACGACACGCCGAAGTGCACCAGTAAGCAATAAAACAAAACAACAAGGCTAGTTAAGCAACAACAAACAAGGGACAATAAACAACAGAAATTCTTAGCAATTCAAAATCTTAAGTAATCTACTAACAACAAACACAATTCACGACAACATACGATAGTGCAGTTACATACTCTCCTGCTGCTCGAAGCAGCTTATCAAAATGAATAAGCCGCCGGACAACACAACATCACCAAATATCCCACTATTACGGTGGGATGCAACAAAAACACACAACTTAAACTCGAATAATCCAATCTTCTTACTGATGACAAGAAAAAACAGCACAGACTCACTCAAAAACATATCACCGTTCCTAATACAAAAAGCAATAGATGCTACATGCGGCGAAGTGTTTTAATGTACGAAAATTCTCAGTGGCCAAATTCAAACAAGCTAATAAACTAATTACTTTAGTCGCACTCTCTGATACAATAACAGTTGAAATTACTCCACACCCATCGCTAAATTACTCCAAAGATGTAATTTACTGCAACGATTTGAGAAATATTCCCGAACATGAAATTTTACAAGAACTTATTCCCCAAAATGTAACCGAAGTTAAAAAATACACAAAAAAGTCGACAACCAACTTGTGGAAACCGGACTACTAATATTGACATTTAACACTACCGCGCTACCTACTAAAATCAATGTCGGGTATTTAAAAGTACCGATTCGACCGTATATACCTCCACCTATGCGCTGCAAAAACTGCATGAGATACAATCATTTAGCTAAATACTGCAAAAACCCTAAAACTTGCCCAAACTGTGCCGAATATTATCACCTAAATGACGAAACTCAAGAAATGTGCAAAGAAAACAAAAATGTGTAAACTGCATAACCAACAAAAACTCGGACCACCATCACTCAGCCCTAGACAAAAACTGCCCTATCTTTATAAAAGAAAAGGAGATTCAAACAATCAAGGTAACAACAAATGTCGATAACAGAACTGCAAAAGCTCTATATAAGCAAAGACACCCACCCAACAAATGTACCTNTGTGTAAACTGCATAACCAACAAAAACTCGGACCACCATCACTCAGCCCTAGACAAAAACTGCCCTATCTTTATAAAAGAAAAGGAGATTCAAACAATCAAGGTAACAACAAATGTCGATAACTGCAAAAGCTCTATATAAGCAAAGACACCCACCCAACAAATGTACCTATGCGTCAATTACAAACATACACATCCCCACAACTACATTCACCAACGATCTAACCCACCTACCAAGCAAAACTCACCACGAACAAACTACCCAGGAAAAAGAAGCAACTAATCACCAAACCCCCACCATACCCCCTACACTAACTACCACTACAGAAGCTATGCAACTCGCAGGTAAAACAAGCGAATCCGAATCCGACTCCGAAACAACAATCAATAATATAAGTTAACACGCTGCGGCACCCAACATATTCCATTCCCACACTCTACTCGTACACGTGCCGCTGCATCAGCAAAATTGCAGTCATACCGTATTGCAACCCAACGCCCCAATTCAAGGCCAATGATATTTCACCACATAACCTGTGGGAAACCAAGTTCATGATTAGTACCACGTACTAATGGTTACGCAACAAGAACCATACCAACAGAGCCAGACAGTAGCGTCAGCAAATTATGTTTCACACGATTGTGAAATACTTGCACATGCCCTCAGTGCATGTCAACCGTGGGAAGCCACGGCCTAAGCCAGCGTACCAAATACCGCGCACCTCAAGGCAGCAGAACGACAAGTCTATAAAAGGAAGCAGCACGCATCGAAGAGGCAGTTGCATGGTGGACTACTAACCCGCTTGTTCTATCTTGATAAATTACTTATCAATAAATTATTGTAAATCTAACCTTTCTTGTGTTTTCATTGTAGGGCAAGTTGGCCCTTTAATTTTTTTAGTGTTCAAGGACCCGGGGTCCTTTACTATTTTTCAAAAATTTTCTTTATTTAACTTTTTCACTACTTATTTCTATTTTTAACAACTTTTCTTTATTTAAATTTTTCACTTTTCAGACGTGTATCTAAATTCTTTCTCTAACTATTTTTATTTCGTTAAATTTAGGAATTGAGAATAAGGTTTATATGGTGTAATTAGTACTACTATAATCTATTTTTCTTACATTAGTACCAGCTGCATTGTTGGTAGTTATGCCGGTAAGTGTGCTGATATCCTTTTTCTTTACGGTACTCGGGAGCACTTGCTTACTCCTTGCTGTTTTTACTCCGGGTCGGCTGGTGTCGTACTGTCGTTGGGGCGTCAAGGAAGTTCCACGTTCCTCTTCACGCCACTTAGTGTTATTATCTCACTTTTGTGTGGAGTCGTTTTTTATTGTGGCACACTTTTTCAAAGTCTTTCTTTCTTCGGTGCTTTTTTGTGGCACTTTTTAGAGTCTTTATTTGTTTTTGGCACCTTAGTGTGGCACAATTTCTTTTAAAGTCTTTAATTTGTGGCACTTTGTTGTTGCACTTTTTTTCTTAAAAAAGGTCTTTATTTATTTGTGGCACTTTAACGTTCTTAACACTTTCAACAACTAACACTAGACGCCGCCGAGCTTATTTGACTCGGGCGCCAGTTACCGGCTTGCTTGCACAAGTCGGGAAAAAAAAGATTTTTTTGTTGGTCGTAAGACCTTTATTCAATCAATAAATCATTAATACTAAACTTAATTTTACTTATTCTCGCTTAATTATACCCTAATTCTACCTGTGTCAGCAATTGGTGTTGGGTCGGCGCATCCGGATGTTGTTGCCGATTTTGCTGAGTGCGCGTCTGGGCTGTTTCCCAATAATTGTTGATTACCCTTATTGCTGACTTGGCGCAATAGTCTTTGTGTCAGCTTGAGTTACAACTTAGTTGGTGCTAACTTGTATGTGGATGCGTACTTATGTACAAATGGACACTTGGTGCCGACTGCGTCGCGGTCGCGATTTTGGGTACAGAACACGCACAAACACTTTTTCACTGAGGTTGAGCCCCCATATGTAGTATTATATGTGTAATACTATGTAAAATGATAGTTTTATTAAATTCTGTATTTAATTTAAATATGAAATAATGTATTACTGAAATTGAATTTTAGCCAGCTCCGTCGCACGTCTTCTCGGCTTCGCGTCTTTCGTTCAACTCCTCGTTGCTCGTACTTTCTCTCTCGGTGCCACATAAAAGGTGTTGCCAGACTCATTCCCACATCTCGGCCATCCTACTGTACATTCGTCTCGAATGTGTCGTCGATATTTTGGTCAAAATACCATGGTTTCATAAACTCAGCACATGTAGACGTTTTATTTGGCCCATCACATACAACTGATTCTTTTATTACGTCGTAGGTATCGTTGCCTTTTGCTTTTATAACCTTATATGGCCCCATGTACTTCGGTTTTAATTTCAAGCCCCCACCTAGTGCGTTGTCAGTAAGCTTTCAATGAATGCAAACTACTGAGCATCTTGCTCTAACCTTTGATCCCACTGATCTGTAATACAAGCGAAATCTATACCTCAGAAACTTATAAGATCGTTTGTTTTCGTTCCGTGCAATTGAAATTTATAATGGGTTTTTTATAAACTCTCAGTTGCATCGGATCTTCCACATGATTACGGGAGTGTATTATTTTGTTTATCGCCAAATTGCGCGTTTTTTTCTCATCATCGAACAACATTGCTAATAAAATGTTTTCCGAGTGACCGTAGTACGCGTTTTCCTCGACAACATTATACACAATTTGTCTTAAATTGGAATCCAAATATTGTGTCCAACGAATGAATTTATAGAATAATACACTACCGTACAGACAGAGTTGTAAAATTTAATGTGGAAGTACATCGGCGTGTACACTTTCATTATATAATTTGACAGAATGGTTAAATTTTTGGATGGCTTAGCGGTGGTCACATACAATCGCAATAATCT